TGTGTGTGTGCACGTGCATGTGTGTGTGTGTGTGTGTGTGAGTGTGTATGTGTGTGTGTCTGTGCCTCTGTGTGTGTGCGCACGTTTGTGTGCGTGTGTGTGTGCGTGTGTGTGTGTGTGCGTGCATGTGTGCGTGTGTGTGAGTGTGTGTGTGCGCGTGTGTGTGCGTGTGTGTGAGTGTGTGTGTGTGAGAGTGTGTGTGTGTGCGCATGTGTGTGTGTGCACGTGAGTGTGTGTGTGAGCACGTGTGTGTGTGTGCGCGCGTGTGTGTGTGTGTGTGTGAGTGTGTGTATATATACAGATGTGTATCCGTTTATGTATATTTAGTGCCTGCCCTTATTTGGAAGTGAATGTGCCTGTACTGTGTGCCAGTGTGTAATGGCTCAGACTGTGCCAGTTCTGGTCGCCCTGAAGGGTATTATTGAGCTGGAGAGGGTTCAGAAGAGATTTCCCAGGATGTTGCCGGGAATGGAGGGGTTGGAATTCCAGAGAAAGTGGTGGATGTGGGTACAGTTACAACATTTAAAAGACATTTAGATAAGTACGTGAGTAGAAAGGGTTTGGAGGGATATGAGCCAAGGGCAGCAGGTGGGGCTAGTTTAGTTTGGGATTATGGTCGGCATGGACTGGTTGGGCCGAAGGGTCTGTTCCCGTGCTGCTTGACTCTGTAACTCTATAAGTGGCACTGTGTGGAATGAAGTTAACACCAGGAGATAATTCCACTCCTGGGCTGTAATAAACCTGTTGCCATGATCTCCATGTGTGCCCATGATGAAATTTTCCTGCCAGCGTTACAGTGGGCCCTGGCTATGTAAACACGTCACGGTGCAATTACATCCTCCGACCAGAGGGAGTGCTGCTCGCTACCGCCCCTTTCCACTGTTTCGAGGGACGTTTTTACCTCAGTTTCCCTGGCATCATTTACTCTTCAATAGAAATACTGTTTCTCATCAGCCTGTCCAGGCTCACCTCCAGAGCAAATGGGACTTGAACGTGGGCCTCCCAGCCCAGGGGTAGGGACACTACCGCTGCATCACAAGAGGACCCACAATTCTTTAAACTGCCTTTATCTCTTATTCTCATTCTCTGGTTATATTTTCTTCTCTCACCATAAAAAGAGCAAGATTCTCTATGTTCTCAACGTGTTTTTGCCCCATCCCTAATTGCCCCCTTGAGAAGGTGGGGGTGGGCTGCCTTCTTGAGCCGCTGTAGTCCGTGTGATGTAGGGACACCCACAGAGTGCCCTCAGGGAGGGGAATTCCAGGATTCTGACCCAGCGACAGTGAAGGAACGGCGATATATTTCCAAGTCGGGATGGGGAGCGGAGGGGGACGTGCAGGGGGCTGGTGTTCCCATGTATCTGCTGCCCCTCGTCCTTCTGGATGGAAGTGGGTCGTGGGTTTAGAAGGTGCTGTCTGGGGATCTTTGGTGAATTTCTGTAGATGGTACAGAGTGAATGACAGAATTGCCACAGTGTAGAAGGGGCCCATTCAGCTCATCGATTCTGCACCGATTCTATTAACTAACGCCAATCTCCTGCCTCCCCGTACCCCATTTCTACCCGAATACCCATCCGATGCCCCCTCTCCAATCCCTCAGTTGAACCTGCCCCCCACCACATTTCCAGGCAGTGTGTCCCACACTCGCTGTGGGAGAAAGATTCCCCTCACCTCCCCCTTGCTCCTTTCACACATCACTTGAAATAAAATTAAAAAATGCACTCCAAGGTCTCTTTGTTCAGCAACACTCCCCAGGACCTTACCGTGAAGTGTATAAGTCCTGCCCTGATGTGCCTTTCCAAAAATGCAGCACCTCACATTTATCTAAATTAAACTCCATCTGCCACTCCTCGGCCCATTGGCCCATCAGATCCAGGTCCCGTTGTACTCTGAGGTAACCTTCTTCACTCTCCGCAAGACCATGAATGTTGGTGTCATCAGCAAACTTACTAAGTGTACCTCTATATTCACATCAAAATCATTTAGGTAAATGGTGAAAAGCAGTGGACCCAGCACCAATCCTTGTGGCACACCACTGGACATTGACCCCCAGTCCAAAAAACAACCCTCCACCACCACCCTCTGCCTCCTACCTTCAAACCAATTTTGTATCCAAATGGCTAGCTCTCCCTGTATTCCATGTGATCTAACCTCGCTAACCAGTCTACCATGAGGAACCTTATCGAACACCTTACTGAAGTCCATATAGACCACGTCTATCGCCTGCCTTCAATCAATCCTCCTTTTCACCTTTCAAAAGACTCAAGTTAGTGAGACGCGATCTCTCCCACGCACAAAGCCACGCTGACTATCCCTAATCAGTCCTTGCCTTTCCAAATACATGTAAATCCTGCCCCTCAGAATCTCCCCCAACAACGTACCCACCATCGACATCAGGCTCACCAGCCTGTGGTTCCCTGGCTTTCATTTACCACATTAGCCAAGCTCCAGCTTTGCAGCACCTCACCCATGGCTATCGATGGAATAAATATCTCCACGTTCATAGTGAGAGCCAACCAGCAATTGGGAAGAAACAGTGGGTCAGCCAACATTGCAGGAGGGTTGGAATGAAGGAATAAAGATAAGGGGAGATGATGGCCTAGTGGTATTATCACTAGACCTGTTCATCCAGAACCTCAGCTTGAGTTCTGGGTTTGAACCTCGCCACAACAGCTGGTGGAATTTGACTTCAATAAATTAAAAAATACTTGGAATTAAGATTCTATATGAAACCATTTGTTTGGGGAAAAAAAAAACCAATCTGGTTCTTCAGGGAAGGACATCTACCTTCCTCAACTCAAGTCTGGCCTACATGTGACTCTAATCCCATAGCCAATGTGCATTTGGGGCATTTAGGAATAGACAAAAAAATTCTGGTGTTCATGGCTGTTCCGATATTCCTCACGTGCCTTTTCCCCGCAACTCCTCGATTCCCCGACTTGTCAAGAATCTATCTCAGCCTTCAATACACACACAAGGACACTGCCCCCACGGCCCTCTTTGGCAAGGATTTCCAAAGATTCTCAACCCTCTGAGAGAAGAAATGCCTCCTTTTCTCAGACGCCACTTTATTCCAAAACTGTGCCGTCCGGCCCTAGACTCTCCCATGAGGGAGTAACATCCTCTCAGCCCCGTCAAATCCCCCCACCCCTTGAGAACCCTATAAGGAATCTTCCTGCATTTGCATAGAGACACACCGGGAATTTTGTGCCAAGTCTCGGTCTCTCTGTCCCAGGAAGGATATCCTTGCCATAGAGGGGGCGAATAGAACAGGAAGCTGTTGAATACTGACCATGGGCTGATCTCATCTTAGCCTCAACACCACTTTCCTTCTCTTAACCCATTTCCAATTTCTAACAAAAACTCCTCCTCAAATTTGCAGAGTGTTCTAACATCCGCCACACTCTGAGGGAGTGAATTCTACAGACTCAGGGCCCTTTGAGAGACAACGTTCTTCC